AATAGTGGGTGGGAGAGGGTCCTATAGGATTATATATATATATATATATATATATATGGAAGATATTATAAAACACCTATAGGCGAAAATGAACAGTGATTTCGTTTACCCTCATCTCCATCCAAAGTTCGTTGCAAAGTCACGATTGTTCTGTAGTGTTTCATTTTTAAATTTTTTTTTACAAATCAGAATGATTTGAAATTTGAAGTGTGTGTTCTTAAAAAATAAGCGAATCGACGAAAAATATCAAAAAAATATTGTATAAGAAATAAATTGGTCAAAATACCCTCGAAATGTTTCAAAGGTATTTTGATCAATTTTTTTTTTCGCGAATTATTATTTTATATTTTTATTAGGTGCGTCTTACTAAGATTTATACACGTTCCAAATTTCAGATCATTTCGATTTGTAGAAAAAAAATAAAAAATAAAACACTACTGGACAATCGTGATCGTGCGATGAATTTTGAACGGTGATGAGGGTGGGTTGTGAAGTTTAGAATATATATATATATAAATATATATATGGAAAAAGTTTATATAAGGTTGTAACTTTAAAATGTAGAATTACAGATGCACCTCAAAAATCTATCAAAAAGGTTGTTTTAATGTTGAAAAACCTTGTAATTGATCATCTCGACATCGACGTGTACGACTATGAAAAAAAATAATAATTTGAATCCAAAAAATAGTGCATCTTGCAACACATTATCTAGATCGTCCATTTTCAAGATTTTCGTATATCTACTTGATTTTAACCATTTTTGGAATTTAAAATTTTTAATTAGATATGAAAATAGATTTTATGATAATCCTAAGAATTTTTTACATAATATGTGTTTGTATAGATATTTTCAGGTTGGACAGACCTGACTGGGATCTGACTTGGGTCCAGAGTTTAGAATCCATACCCGAAGCTAGTTCAGTTCATCCTGCAAGTTCGTCGAGTCGACGTAACCTGATTGGCACCCCTAGCTTGGACCCTATCGGGTCGGTCATGTTCAAGTTTGAGTCAACCCAATCCAATCCGACCCAGTATATAGAAGTACAAAATATATTATATATTATAAAATGTAAAATAATTTTTATAATTTTTTTATTTCTAGACCCTGATCCAGCCAGACCCAATGGGTCAAACCTGGATCCAATTGTTGGGACCTGACCTAGCTCCAGGTCAGATCCAAGTCTAAGTTAGACCTAAGCAAGTTGGGGTACAAACTAATTTGGAGCCCTAGTTATTAGAGAAACCCCCCAAGGCATTTGAAGATATGCATGAAAGGTTTCAACCGGTGTTTAAAAAACGCCGAGTCGAACCGGACTCGCCCGGTTCGACTCGGGAATCGCCATGGACGGATCGAATATACGAAAAAAACGAGAATCGTCCGGTTCTAGAGAGAACCGGACGATTCTGTACAGTGACTCGCCGATTCACTGTACGCAATCGGCGAGTCCGAACAGTGAATCGGCGAGTCCCGTACGGAATTTTTTTTTTTTTTTTGTGTTGTTGTTGTTGTTGTTGTAATCCATGATAGATTTTTT